CTTTTTCTTCCAAATGAAGCTAGGCTTCTTGAGGGGTACACCCAGTTGCTCTGTCTCTTCTGTATTCCCAACACCCAGAACAATGCCTGACATGTTCGCTATTTGATCAGAAAGTATTTGTTGGCTGAATAAAACCAGCCTTTCCCTTCCCTAGAACAATACCCACTTTCTCTTTGTTACTGATTAAGCCACTCTAAGGTTGGAAGGAAATCTCAGCAGCACTTGCATTTTTAAGAGGATCTGTGTCCCTCAAAATCCTCCTTGGCAGTATTTCAAGTATTAGAATAAAGTGCAGTGAAAACTTCCTGCAATACTTGAAATAGGTGAGGTGCAGTGTTCCAAAGACCTTCTCTCCAATTTGTTGGGAAGTCTATTCAGGGCAAAACTTCTTTCTCTTCTGTGGTTTTTATAGCTTCTTTTCTTCCGCTACAACTGAAAGTATAAGTCCTCTAAAATCCCTGGCAGTGGACATGTATGTGCACATCCAGAGATAAAGTAAAAAAGGCAGTCATACTAAGTGTGGACCATTTGCCTCTGTCCCTGAGACAGTACACTATGGATACTCTGTACCTTGGTGGTTATTCTGGTTCTATTTACTTTTCTTTAGGGTTAATTTTATATTCAATGAATTGTTCAGGCTGTAAAATTGTCTATTCATGCAAATATGAAAAATACATTATACTTCTGGTTTTATTTTAGAATAGAGAATCTGAATAGATTTCTTCAGATTTTGAAAAATTAGGTTTTAAAATTGTTGACAAAAGAATTTTCTTGACTAAGGGTATCTTCTGAAAACTCTGAAATCTAGTGCAGTTAACTAATAAACAATAGGCATAGAAAGTATCAGAAACTTGTTATGAACTTATTAATGATGCCTGTGTATGAGACCATATTTAGTAAATAGCAAATTTAAAAAGTTACATCAGATATACCTTAAGAATAATTTAAATGTGTCTCATAGTTTAGCAGATTATATTCTCTTTCTAATTCCCAGAGCAGCTCCATAAGGTTGAAGTTCAAGCTTCAAACCTATTACTCAAGAATGTTAATCTGGTTGCATTTTTCACTCAATTTTAATTAAGCAACTTTCTTCTTAATAGCTTTTTTCGAGCTATAGCATCAGTCAGTGTGTGTGTGTGTGTGTGTGTGGTGGGGTTATTCAGATTGAACCCAAGGTTTTGCACATGTTCAGCACACACTCTACCCTTGAGCTGCACTCCTAGCCCAAGTTTGTCACTGTAAGTATATTTAGTCTACTGTCAAATATGTATATCATGAAGACAGGAAATAGTGAATGGAAGAATCAAAAGAAGAAAGTTCAAGGGAAGAGTAATGACAGTTTCAGAACTGAGATGAATCAAATACCGGAAGAATGGATTAGGATTCTAAAGTACATTTTAAGGCCATATATATATATATATATGGCCTTAAAATAAGATATATATATCTTACAAAATTATTGGTTTGAAATACAGTTGGATAGAAAGGAAATGCACAGAGCACTGAATGTAGTATCCAGATGTAGTAGAAGGGGAAAATGACATTCTCCTCTCTCTCACACATTTTTCTCTAAATAGAAAAAATTTTGGAGTTCTGCACATTTTCAACCTCTCTGAACATTTAGAAGCATCTTCTCATGCTTGAACTTAGTGAAAAGTGCTGGAGAAGGATCCGGAAATCCGGTTTTCTCAGCAGAGCCCCTGACTTGATGAGGAAGCTGAGCCAGAGCGGATACCTCCTCTGTCACTCAAATGAGTAAGGCACTGGGCACCTAACCAAGGCAATGTGTCTTGCGCAGAAGCTGAGACTTAAATAAGCAAGGGAATCTCAAAACCACTTCTTAGAATTATTATCAATATCAGTAGTATTTTTAGAAATGAACCAGTAGATGCAATATATTGCCAAATTCAGGCTTAGCCAAGTTCAGTAAGAATACAAATCATGAAATCCAACTGCCTGTGTTCGAATTCCAACTCTGTGACTTTGAACAAGTTATTTAATCTCAGTTTCCTTTGCAACCTCAAAGGTAATTACAAAGACCAACCCCAAAGTTAGTTACAAAGACTGGATGGGTTAATAGGAGTGAAGTGATAAAAATAAGAGCTGAGAGACAGAAAAAGCTCAGTGTACGTTAGCTATCATTATTGTATACTCAGAGGCAGAAAAACAATTATGTTTTCTTCAAATATTTAGTAGAAAAATAATTTCTCAGGCTGATTATTTCCTCTGGAATTTTTTGTCAAGAGAAAGCTAAGGGTTCTTTCCAGGTAGATCTTCCTTGGTGGCCCTCAGCAGCCATCTCTCTCTACTTTTGGGGTCCCCAGTAAGAAAATATGCCCTAGACTTTGTCAACTAGAGTCAAGCACACACAGATTCACTTTACAGTTACTCAGTCAATGTGAACCAAGCGTAAAGACACTCAGCCCAGTGGACCAGGGGACAGCTCAGGTTTAACAGGGAGAGCCACCCAGCTCTTCTCAGAAGCAAGACTCACTTTGGCTAACCTCTCCTCTCTCTTGGGTTCTGAGAGGCCACTTGTGGGGCTGTGCTTGGGGTCTGGAGGGTAGTTCCGCTAGTCTGGATTCTGGGCATCCCACATTTTGATTCTAGGTTAGGGATGCTCTGCTAGGGGCTGCCTCCCGCGCCCCTATGGCTGCCCTTGATGCCCTCATGGTAGGCCCTCTATCTTTGCCCTGCTTCTTCTCCCTTAAACTTGACCACGACACAGGTCTTGGTTTCTCTTCCACTGAGTGGGATGTTGTTCACTCTCGGTCCTTGTTTTGTGTCTGTCATTGTCCAGAGCATTCTCATTCACCACTCTGTCTGCTGAAGCCCAGGTTTGGGTCCATCCTATGACTAATACGGCCCTGGGTCTTCTCTCCGTCACACCCATCTTCTTTCCGTTTGGGGTTTTCTGGTCTTTCCCCCCGGCACTTGTCACTCTCTCCCCAGCCTATCTCAGCTGACACACCGAGCATTTGCAATGTGTGGGACTCTCCGCTAAGGGTAAGGGCTGGCCTGGAGACTCAGATGTGGAGCTCGCTCTCTGGGACCCCACAGCACAGTGGGGACAGATAGAAAGAGGCTACCATCGCCATACATATTGGATGCCAGGGCACATGGCGGTGGGCAGCTTGCACAGGCTGTGGGAAGCCTTTACAGAGCACATGACATCTCAGAGTTTAGCAAAGGGGCTGCAAGAGGGGAGAAAGTGCTTTGTAGGTTGGTGATCCCATATGGGGCTGTGCTGATACAGGGGGGCATTTGGAGACCTACAAAGTGCTCAGGCAGCAACGGGAATATGCACTTGGTATGGGAGCACAGACCAGGAAGGACCCAACCAGCGAGCCTTGCAAAGGACCTGGGTTCTTCTCATTTGTAGGGGACATGGAATAAGTGCAAAGTTTTAAAGTGAAGGGTGGTGATCAGATTTTGTTTTAGGAAGATCCTGCTGTCAGCTGTGTAATGAGTGAAACTAAAAACACAATGGTGGAAAATAAATGAGGTCCTCTTTAACAGCTGTGCCCATCATGGGCCATTGACAAGGGTAATCCTATCTCCGACCCCCCTAGATGCTGTGAGGAACGGAACCAGCCAGCCAAAACTGGCTCAAATTCCTGATCCTAAGAAACTTGCATAAAATAATGATGTTGTTTTAGTCCGTTAAATACGCATAGTTTGTCTCACTTTAACACTCCAAAGCAATGCTCTGAGTCAAATAAATCCATGTCAAAAAGTAACAAACTGCAGGGACAATTTCAGGGCAATAAATTGGTCTACAGTCAGTACGTATCAACTTGTACTTCACTCTTAATTACTTGATTCCAAATCCCACATGAAGCTTATGTCCCACTTAACTGATTAGGGTTTAAGCATTTTAAAAAGGGGTTCTTAGAAAATGTAATCCTCTGATTCTATCTTGCAACAGACTAGGAAAATGTGTGTGGCACGTGGATTAAAATCCTCTGGAATTCGTATTGAATTTTCCTACTCGTGTTTTTAAGATAAATAGCTAAACAAATGTGTGTTTCACCTTTTAAACCTGTAGAAAAATGTTTGATGGTTGTTTATGCTTTTCCTTCTTAGCTGTATGGTCAAGTGTGTTGTACCATTGTACTTGAATAAATAGTGGGATCTCTCTCTAGGCTTAAAGATGTAGACCCAGAGGTAGGAACTATTTTTCCACAAGAAGATATCTACTCTATTTTTCCAGGAGAATATTGATTTTGTGTGTTTCCATAAACATGTATTCTCTCTGTTCTGACTTGTTCAAGTCTGTTCTCCAAAGAGAAGGGGTTTACCTTTTGTCTTCCATTCCTACTAAAGTAAAAAAATTTAGATGTTGCTCTATGTTGACATTTCTCTCTGTCAGTTGCAACTCTGAGAAACAGCTATGGTAATGGACACATTTGCTTCATTAATTTCTGAAATGATTGCTAATTTATGCTTAGCAGTATTAGCCTTTTTGGGTCAAATATGGTGTAGTTATGTCATTAATAAGTTTAAAATGCCCCTTTTCCTCCTGCTCTGATGCTTTACTTTCCTTAAACACTTTTAGTCACAGAAGTCAAGTGTACTATAAATATTAAAAATCTCAACACCCAGGAAGTGGGAAAGTATCTCAGTAATAAAATCCTGTTTTCCCTGGGATGGAGGGAGGAAGGTTAGGGGAGTTTGTGCCTTTGACAAGTACTTCAGCTGCCTCCACATCAGAAGCTGCAACTGCACCGTTATTTCTCACTGAATTAGTTGCATAAACATTAAATGGCTTTTAATAAAGTTGCCTAGGAGTAGCTCCATTGTATATAAGGTACTTAAAGTTCTTTTGGAAGAGCTATTTACGATTACTGTTAATATTACCTCTCTGTATTGTCCAAGAATGCCTGACATAACATGTGTCTCATTTGTTTTTCTTCCTGAATGATTAATGCAGAAGAATTAAACGTGTTCCTATTGTTAGAGGATATTCCACCTGTCTATTATTCACCCTTACCTTTCAGAAGCAAAGTCTATTGAAGAAAGCAAGATGTCCTTTTTGGAGAATCTTGGTGATTATAATATTCTTTGTGTTACTATCATTACCAACAGGAGGAATGACGCCTTGCTGATTTTCCTGTTATGGTATTAAATTTTACTTTCCCAAGTCAAAAGTAATTGGAGTTGAGTAACTTCCATGCTTAAGTGACTACATTTTCATTTATTGGTGAGGAGTTACATGTGCCACTAATGGCTGTGCTCTGCAATGTATGCAAGCCATTTACCAATAGTTACAGTGTGACAGATTAACCACAATCCAGGATTCTTGAAATTATCCACTTCTTTACCATCCCTGGTACCTCGATGAGGTTGTGGTCTCACTGGAATGCATGCATTCCAAATGATACTCCCCAGATGACTATGACATATTAGGATCCGGAGGAACCTTAGACACTCTCTCACCCAGCTCATGCATTCTAAAGTCAGTATGGCCAAGTTGGCATCAGTTGGAACTTTGTCCTTTAACTTCTACTTCTGTGGTTTTTCTATTGACTTTGCTGTCATTTGGCTTTGAGAGCTATCAAGGCAGGTGAATGGTACAAAAGCCAACAACGTGTCTTCAGCCTTATCTCCCATAAAGCACAGTCTGAATTTGCATTCACAGTATCCTTGAGTGCCAGCTACAGAATGTCCCAGACTAGCGCAAGGCTGGAGGGCAACGAGGTAGAGAGAACTCAGCAGGGAAGAAAGGAGCCGATGCCTGAGCAGACACTGGGCAAAGATAAGTCAAGGTACCAAGGGTGGGCATGAACTTGGCCCCCTGTGAGTGCTTTTCAGGCAAATTTCCAAAAACTCATTTTGAGACTATGGACCAAAACTGGAGTGTCTCGTGCAGTTAATAGTAATGATTAGGCCCTGAAAATGTAATATTCATGCTTAGAACCCTTCGCAATGGCGTCTGGAGGGAAATAAAGTATATTCTCTGGCTGTAGAGGCCCCATGAGCTTTCTCATATGAAGCTGCAGCCTGACCTCTGTCCCAAGAGTTAAAAAGAAAAAAAAAGAAGTGAGAGACTTGGTAGATGCCCCTAGGCAAGCCTGCACAGCAGACAGTAATCAAATTAAGATATCATTACTGAGCCCCAGTAATGTGCCGGACAGTAGCTCCAAGTCCCTGGAGGCATAGGAAATAGAATACTAGAGTAAACACACTACAGCGACTCCACGGAAAGGTGTAACACATAAGGATACTTGAGAAAGAACTGCCAGTTATGCAGGAGGAAGTAGGATTGTTTGAAATGGTCACTTCACGGACAAAGTGGGGAAGGTATGTGGCATTTAAGGGACCAGAATACTTTCCTATTTCCAAAAAGTAAGGATACTGCAGATGATGATGTAGTTAGGGGCCAGAATGTAGAAGTCTCACTCTGTGAGAAGTGTCACCCTTACTCCGCAGGGAAAGAGGAACATAATTTTTATGCTTGCCCTTACCTGACCCTATCCCAACACTTGGCAGGAGGGAGATGCAGTGGAGTCATAGTGTGTTTCCCTTTGGAAACGTCTCCTCCCATATTCTATAGAGGTTACCGTGGGCTTTTGTGGTATGAACTGGAACTGAAACACTGATTTTATTTATTTATTTATTTATTTATATTTTTTTCCGGTACCAGGAATTGAACTCACTACCTCGCGCTTGCCAGGCAGACACTGTGCCGCTGAGCCAAATCCCCAGCCCCTAAACACTGATTTTAACATTGTTTTGGCTTTGGCTTAGCACTTGTTCGGAACCCTTAGGTGTGCCCACTTTATTCTATTATTGCTAGGATTTGTTTCAATCTCTTCTAGAAGATTTTTTTCCTTTAATTTCATACTTTGGGTTATTCTACTTTTTAGTGAGCCCCCTCTTGAGAATTTTTTCACTTATAGTATCTTTGTCATACTTCTGCCACCCCAATTCTTAAATCTCATATTTTACTTTTTACCTTTCTTACTCCTAGATGCTTAAATAAATTTAAAAATCATTATGATGTTGTCTTGAAGAATCTTTAACATTTTTTATCATTTAATTAAAAAATATTTCCCTTTTTCATTATTTAATATTTTCCCTTTACTAAAATAACTCTTGGGTTCTTAATACATCTACACCTTATGTTTACATATCGTCTATCCTTTTGCCTGTAGGGCACTGAAGAATATTTTAATATAATCTTTTATTTCATTCTTAGCTTAATCTATTTTCCTTTTATGATTGGCATAATAATGCTCAATATAGTGAAATGCCATGAGGATTACAGAGGAAGAAAAACCACAAGATACCCAGAAGGAAACAGAGTTTTGTTCGTGCAGTAAGTCACCTCCCAGAATTTTTAAATGTAAAAATTCACATTAACTGAAAGTAATGAGGCAATTAGGGCAATAAATGTTTCCCATCACATGAGGTCTGATTTCTCCTAGAATTTATGTAGGTAATTACAGAGGCTCACAGGCAAAAGTTGGTAGGGTAATAAAGATTCTATTTGTGCAGATATTTGAATCAGATTGAGATTCCTTTCTTCTAACATAGGACACATTCTTTAGACATTACAGATTCTACACTTTATGGCTTATTTATTTCTTCTACTAGTATTGACACCTATTACATCAGATCTAAGGATGTAACAAAAAATGAGAGAGACTGTGGATTTTGCCTTCATGCAGTGTACAACCCACTGGAGAAGTCTAAAGTAAAGAAACATTAGAGGTACATCTGTTCTAAGGGCTACTGTGACTGACTGGTTACTATAGGTCACACGCAAACTCATCACTCAGATGATCTGAGAGGGGTTTTCAGAAACATGCAAGGAAACCGAATCCTGATTTGTAGGATCAGGAAAAGCCTTTGGGAAAAAGTGGCTAAAGCAGAGGCTGAGCTATATAGGATTTATCCAAGGGAAAGAAAGGTTCAGAGGTTGGGTAGGGTAGTCCAAGAGGCCAAGCAAGGAAGGCCGCAGGATATCTGAGGAAGCTACTAAGGCCATACTTGGAGGAATGTGATACGCAGGAGAAAAGAGGCTGGAGAAGCAAGGCCTAGCACCTTCTCATCTATATGGAGAAGTCTGGGCTTCATCCTGAAACAGCACTGGGAAGTCGTAGGAGAATGTAGAGCTGGGGAGTGACATACTCACATCTGGGTTCTAGAAGGGTCCCTCCAGCTGTAGCCCAGGGAACCATTCAGAGTAATGGAGACTAGCGAGAGGTGCACGCAGTAATCTGGAGGAAAATGGCGCTACCTTGTGAAAAGAGTGGAGACACTGTGGTTGGGAAATGGTGCAGGGCCAGGGATATATTTGGGAGGAGCTAGCAGAAATTTATTTTGACCAAACTATGGAGGTGGAGAAAAGGAGTCAGGGAAGAGCTCCCAGATGTCAGGTTTGCAGCAGTGCCAGCTACAGAAATGGGTGAAAAGGGAACATGGGAAGAGAGAGGAAGGGAAGGCGGTGCATTTGTCCTGGGGAGTACAATGTTAGGTGCATCCAGAAACTACCCAAGGAAGAGGACCAGGGAATGTTCAGGTAGATAACGACTGGGTTGAGGTCTGCAAGGAGAGAGCTATGGGGATCCACGAGGGTGAAGTAGCCCTTAGAATGAGAAATCTGTGGAATACTAAGCTTTCAGGTTGACGGAAAGAGAGGATGAGGCTGCAAAGGAGGAAGAAAGGGAAATGGGAGGGTGGGGAGAAGAATCAAAGGAAGCTGTTGCACAAGACTCAGAACGGACTGCTGCGGAACGTGCAGTAAGGCACGGGTGGACCTCAGCAATAGGCAGCAGCAAGGCATGTGAGTGTGATGATGTCCAAAGGGCAGGGGAAGTGAAGCCAAGTGTCTGAGGGCCAGGACACAGGGCGCGAGCAAACAGAGGCAGCGAGCACAGTGAGCAACCTAAGGACACTGTGACAAGGAGAGAAAGAAGGAAGCAGGTCAGGGAAGGCACAGGAGGATTTTTTTTTTTTTTTTTTCACAAAAGGACAAAATTTAAGCATATTTAATACTAAGAACAGGGTTGGTAGTGAGGGGAGAAGAGAAAAGTAGCAGAGAGAACCTCAAGCCTACAAGGGTCCCAAGAATGAGCAAGTGTGTTCCATGGACCAATGGAGAACAGTGGGACATCTCAGGAGGCAGTGTGGGTTTTTCCTTTTGTTCTTGTTGTTATGGAAGATGAGGATGAGAGGGTGGATCCAGGTAAGGTTAGGTGTGCAGTCTTGTGGTTATGGGGTGAGGGAGTTTTCACCTGGCAAACTATCTTCTCAGTCACGCAAGAAACAAGGCTACCTGCTGAGGATGAGTGGAAGGATGGTGGAGACAGAAGCTGGAACGGGTGCTGCAGAAGCCGAGGAAGGTGACCAGGGAAAGCCTGACCACTGGGCAAATCAGAGAGCCTGGCTCTATGTATGGCACTGTGAATTTGCATAGTTGCATAGTTTTTTCCAGTTTATACTCAGCAGCTAGGAAAGCAGACAGTTGGATTCAATAATAAGCCCAGATTTGGAAAAGGAAGCCCATCGCTCTGCAGGGCAGTGCCAGTTGCATCTTCCCCACAGCATAGGGACAGGCGGCCATATTTCATCTTTGCCAATTCTACCTTGAAAGAGCTCTGCTCTGAACAATAAATATTATTTCTTCTCAATCAACCCAGTGCTTTAAAAAGCTGATGGGGTATATTCCAAGGTTTACAGTCTTCCTAACAAACGAAAGACTCAGTTATATTCCCCTTTTTCTGAGAAAACATCCTCCCCAAACAGCTAAATGATTAACAAACACTGGGAACACAACTGATGGAGTATAAGAAGAACAGGATGAAAGAGATCAGAGCCAGGTATGGTGGTGCATGTTGGTAATTTCAGCAACCGGGATTACTGGTTTAAAACTGATCACCACAATTTTAAACCGGTCTGAAACACACGGTGAGTTCAAGGCCAGCCTGGACTAGATAGCAAGACACTCTCAAATGCCCCATCCTGCCAAAAAATAAATAAATAAATAAAAGTCAGGGTTTCATGCTAGTAATTTGTGTGGCCCTTGACCACGTTTCTTCGTGTCTAGAAACTTCAGTGTCTCTTCTGTAAACCTTGATCAACCCATCCAACACGTGGGCTTTACGAACACTTAGCAAATGCCACTTAGTTTTCCATTTCTCCTCTTTTCTTCTAGCCTTAAACTTACGTGATTCTATAATTTAAAGGAATGGAATAAGAAACAAGACACCCTATGTCTATAATGTTCAAGCTCCTAGGTAAGGTAGGGA